GGGGGGGGGGGGGCACACAGAGTTAATGGTGTTAGCACACAGAACACATTGGCAACAGTTGTTTCATAATGGTGAATCTAAATCTTTCAGACAAATAAGACATGAATTCAAACTTCCTCAAACTGATTTTTATAGTTACAAGTTTCAAACAAAAGTGAAAAAGCGCTCTCAAATTGAGCTTTTTCTCAAAGAGCTCCATCCATAGTAGTAAGAAAATAATCTCCAAATCATCATATTTTCTTCTATGGACTCCAATAACACCCACATGTAAAAAACAAGTGGGGACTGAAAAAGGCATCATTCCTGAAACCTTGGAGCAAGTGTGTGAAGGAGCACACTTAGTGACCAAACATCTGGAGAGAGTTTACATGGAAAGTTATAACAAGATATTTCAGAACCCCACAAGTGACCGATGGAATCAAACAGACTCGGATAAATGCTGGAGGAAATGATCACACCCAGATTCTGAGGTCCTGCCCCAACTGAGTGAAAACTGGAAGGATGTATTCCTCTCAAGGAAGTTTTTCAGTACGAAGTCAGACTGCAGCATGGTGGAGAAACAGTGATAGCGTTCAGCGGGAGAACCTGCAGCAGAACCTGCTGAGTCATGTTTACCTGTCTTCGGGTCGTAGAAATCTCCTTCGTTGACAAAGGTCTTATCAAAGACGATGGTTCCGGCTCGCTCCATGGGAACCGTAAGAGCAGCGGAGAACGCCAGTCTGGGAACGTGAGCGTCACCCCCGGGACGTCCTGAACAAACAAACAGGAAACACATCAAGGTTACAGATTATTCTGTTTCCATGGTTACTGCTGTTGCTAATGATGTTAGCACACAGAGACCCTGCCAAAAACAAGACATATAAAGTATATTTCTATAACATATCTGGCCTACCATGAGACCCTGTCTCTCCAGGTCGTCCCGGAGGACCCAGAGGCCCTCGGGGACCCGGCAGCCCGTTAAAGCCTCTCTCTCCGGAGGGTCCTGGGGGTCCTTGGGGTCCTGGCAGGCCTGTGGGTGATATGAACTGTTGATTAAAAAACGGTGTCTCATTGGAGGGCCTCTTTAAGATGTCCCTCTCGGTTCCTTCAGTAACTGAGTAACAGTCATCAGGATGCTCAGCAGCTGCAGTAAACCACAGAGAGAAGCACAGAAACAGACGCTCACTGTTCAAGTCTCGCTCCGAGGAGGTCTGCATCTCCTTGAAGACCTGGTTCACGCTCGAGTTCAGGTTCTTCATCCTGCTGTAGACATCCTCCTGGTTCTTCTGAATGTAGTCCAAGATTCCTCCGTGATGGACCACTGACTCATTCAGACCAGAAATACACGTCCACAAGCTGGAGACATGTCGGTTCAGACCTGAACACAACACGTCAAAACAAGGGGAACAACACGTCAAAACAAGGGGAACAACACGTCAAAACACGTCAAAACACAGTTCACAACAAGGGGAACAACAGGTCAAAACACAGTTCACAACACGTTAAAACAAGGGGAACAACACGTCAAAACGCTGGAAACGACACGTCAAAACATGGGAGACGACACGTCAAAACACGGGGAACAACACGTCAAAACAAGGGGAACAACATGTCAAAACACAGGGAACAACACGTCAAAACAAGGGGAACAACACGTCAAAACAAGGGGAACAACATGTCAAAACACAGGTCACAAAACGTCAAAACAAGGGGAACAACATGTCAAAACAAGGGGAACAACATGTCAAAACAAGGGGAACAACACGTCAAAACAAGGGGAACAACATGTCAAAACAAGGGGAACAACATGTCAAAACAAGGGGAACAACACGTCAAAACAAGGGGAACAACACGTCAAAACAAGGGGTAC